CCAGTTCTTGTGGGGTAGGAGTTGGGGAGACAAACACCAGCAACCCATAAAGAACAGAACAAGGAGAAGGAGCATGGGGGCACACAGCACAAGAGGAGGTGGGGCAAATAGCAGCACATGCAGGGATTTCCCTACACCTCCCCTAACTACGTCATTGCCCCTCTCCAGTGGTCAAACCAACCAAGATGAAGAACATACCAAGAACATACCAACATACCATCCAAAGGTTCAAGTGGTGTATCTACATCCAAACAGCCTGAAGCGCAAATACAGCTATCTATTGAAGAAACAGTGTCTCCATAGCCTAAAGGCAGTTCCCGATGTTTGTCAGTCCAACGTTTCCCGTTCATTGAAGTTACAAAAGATGGCTACTAGCACCTCTTGCAAAAAAGCTTATGAAGAAGGAAAGCTTCCCACCACTACAACTGGTAAAACTGGAGAGCTTGGTTTGCCAGAGCAATCAGCAAAGCCAATACTATGTGAAAATGCTGCAAAACACCAAGCCTCTTTACTACATCAGCCTGCAGAAAGCCTTGTAAGCCAGTCACTGTCAAAGCCAGTTCTAGTACTTAATGAGGCTGTTAGAAATGCTGGAGAAACAACACGGTTTATGCGAACAAACATGGCTGTCACATCGTACTTTCTATTTACGCAAGAGATACCAGAAACTACGAACTGGAGACCAATGTTAAATGCATTGTCACTTGTTAACCCTGAAGTTGGACCCTGGTTCTGAACAAGACTGGCAAATGATCACTATCTTTCTGCAAGAAACTCAACTGAGTAGTTAGAAGCATCTTGTGCAACAGTGAAAGACTCAGCAGTCGAAAAAGTGAAGAACTCTCCCACCATAGTCAAAAAATTTGCATACATGCCTGATAAATGCACCAATGCAAATGGGTGTCAAGTATTATGTCACTGCATACATTATCTTGATGTCAGTGGTAAGCCAGTAGATGCATTTCTAGATGTTCAGGTTATAGAAACACATCGGTTGCATCTGTGACAACCCACATATTAGAAGAGTTAAATGCTTGTAAATTGGACCCCAAACAGATGGCTGTGCAGTTGCTGGAGATGCAAACTTCTCCGGAAGACATGGTACAACATGGAGTACAAGTTTTTCTCAGAGAAAAGTGTAACCCCAACCTCTCCTATATACACTGCAGAGGCCATCTTAATTTCAGTACCTGGACAGATACTGGAGCAAATAATTAGAAAATCAATTTGTGAACACCTAGAAGATAATAAGGTGATAAGTAGCAATAAGCATGGATTTGTCAAGAATAAAGCATGTCAGACCAACCTGACAGCTTTCTCGGACAGGTTAACAAGCCTTGTGGATAGGGGGCGAAGCGGTAAACATGGTATATCTTGACTTTAGCAAGGCTTTTGAGACTGTCTCACATGACCTTCTCATAAACAAACTTAGGAGATACAACCTAGATGGAGCTACTATAAGGGGGTGCATAACTGGTTAGAAAACCGGTTCCCAGAGAGTAGTTATCAGTAGTTCACAGTCATGCTGGAAGGGCATGTGGAATGGGGTTTTGCAGGGATTGGTCTTGGGTCTGGTTCTGTTCAAAATTAAGATGATTTAGATAATAGCCTAGAGAGCACACTTATAAAGTTTGCAGATGATACCAAGCTGGGAGGGGTTACAAGTGCATTGGAGCAGTGGTTCTCAACCATCAAGACAATTCGGAACACAGACTAGACTTTGTACTTGTGAACGTATGTGCATAGGTGCTGGAAGTAGGAGTGTGGCACACCCTCTGGTTTGAAGTGGTTTCCATCATATATAGGGTGTACAGTTTTGTTCAATGGCCTTCAGCAACCCCACTATACAAATTGTTCCAACACCCGTGTCACTATCCTTGCATGTACTCCTCGAGTCTCTAAATCTGAGACAAGTAGAAGAAGTGACTTTCACTCTGTTGAGCTTGAAACTGTAGCAACCAGAGCCGAACCCATGGTGGTGCAAGATAACATAACTAAATTTATCCTAAATAAAATAAAAGGCTACATATTTTACATTTAGGAAAAAAATGAAAATATTTTTGAAACTAACACACAAAAAATTGATTATGCAAAAGAGGTAATACAGGAGGAGTAGATTTCCTCATGCAGCTTTCTCCCAACAAAAGCAGCACAAGAGACGTCCTGTGCTGACTTTCAGTTCAGCAAGGTCAGTAATAGCAGTGGTAAACAGCGGCAGCAAGCTCATGTGGGGAGCACAAAACATTTTATTTCCTTTAGGTCGGTAAAGATGCCTTGCACTGATTTTAATCAGGGTTATTGCCCTTTTAAATTCCAAGTGAGTATAGATTAAATGAACATTTTAAAACCACTTTGGGAATCCACACCTTGCTCAAATAAATTGAAACACATTTCAATTCACCTTTACACTTAATTTAAGAGCTACAGATGTTTATGTCTATTTGTACTTCAAGAATTTGTATTTTAAGCATATTTGGGTAATTCTACATTTATTAATATTAGGCTCTAGAGAAACTATTTGTAATTTAAGATGATTATAATATTCCTTTTATACAAAACTTTTCACTAGTCTCCTCAGACTATCAATACTATATTTATGAAATCATTCAACTTATCTTGTAAATGGATTAAAGATTATCTCTGGATGTACAGAATAACAAGTGCTCCACATAGCACTAATATTTCCCCTTGCAGATTTTATTCATCTATAGAAAGGGATATATTTATTTACAAGCAACACAAAAGCCATGAAAATCAAGCTAAATGCTGGACTATGCCCTTAAAAGTACATTAAGTAAAAAATCATACAGTTAAAAATTCTTCCCTTAGTTACACTCAATGTAGATCTGGAGTAACATCAACATCAATGCAGTTATACTAATTTACCCCAATAATGAGAACAAAATTTGAGCCCATATTTTTAAAAGACATTGTTTTATCTGCTAACACCTTAATTTATTAAAACGGAAGTTTTAGAAATCAAATGCCAATCACTATTGCTGTTTCTTTATTGTGTGCACTTCCCACAGACTAGAAAATGAAAATATATTTCTGTGTCAATATCTGAGTTATGTCTAAAGTAGAGCTGGACACAATGTTTTTCCATCAAAAATGCATTTTGGGGGCCCAAAATTATTCTGAATAGTTTCAATTTGCAATTTTTTCTGAAAGAGAGTTGAAATGTTTCATTTCAAATTTTAATTTTAAAATGTTTATTTTGACTTTATTTGAAATGGCAGTTCAATCTCAAACTTGACGAATTAAAAAACAAACCAGGAAATCATCTAGAAACATCCAAAACAGATGAATTGAAATGAAAAACTCAATTTTCTTGTGTGCATGTGTTTGTTTTTTGTTTCGAGTTGATTGAAAATGTTTTTGTTGATTCAAAATGAACTGAAAAAATTAAACAAAAAATCATAATATGGAATTGACTCAAAATGTTTCTGTCTATTCAAAATCTTTTTAGATTAGATGAAAAAAATTTGAAAAAATTAAATTTTGCTTTGAATCAAAACAGATTCCCCCCATCCCCGATTTGGCCCTCAAATTAAAAAAAAATATCACTCAGCTCTGCTTATTACCTTGATAGCTAAGCTCCAAAAAGTCACACACACAAGTTTTTGGCATAACTGGAAACAGACAATAGATCTCCTGGTTTTACAACAGGACTATCCTTCCCCAAAAGCTGTGGATGAAGGAAAGGGGAAATTGGGACCCACACCAAGAGAGATGGGTACATCAGGACCTGCAGGGCTTGTCATGGTCTTCTTTAAAACCTTGGACAGAACCAACCATTTTTTTAAAAAAGGAAGGGCATAGTTGCTGTGATGTCTAGCTAGAAAGACTGTTCTGAAATTTTAGCTCTGATAATGTTTGCAAAATGTCAAAGTAATCATTTTTCATCAAACGCTGTTTCCTAAAAAAAAAAGGAGACTGACTGCCTCCCAAACCACTAACAAGCTTGAAAAATGGTCAGACATTGACCTAAGGGAAAACAAAGGATTCAGCAACAAGAAAAAAAGTACCATCCTATAAAAGTGATCTGTCAGGTCTCTGTGTTACACAATCATCACTTTTCATATCTTAAAGCATTAGAGAATCACCTTTGAAAGTACTGTGTTTTCAACAGCAGCCTTGCAGGGCTGCCAGCAATTTATCTTTGCTTGTGGACAGTTCAGTTCAGGCACTGGGAAGAGGGCCTAGGGGCTAGAGTGAAGGAGTTGGGGATTAGAAGGATTTCTGCTTGAGGTGAGAGATTGGAATCAGACAGGCGATCTACTCAGACCAAACTCCTAAGGCCCAGAGAAGAGCTGCACAGGAGGTTTGTCATACTGCCGTTCCTCTCTAGCCCTGCTTTTAGAGTCAGCTGGAGGCTGGGGAACATGGAAGGAAGGGAGTGCTGTTCAAGAGGAGCACGAGGGAAACTGGGCTTCAACCTCCTGTCTTGTGAGAGTGCAAGCACAACTCCTCTCTCATTATCATGACCCAATTAAGAAAGCCCACTCCACCCACATTATGATTCCCCAAATTCACCCCCTGCCACCCATCACCCTTCTGCTCAGTTCCATTCCTCCTTGCCATCCCCACATCCCAGCTCAACCCCATGGCCACCACTTGGTGGTTCAACTCCCTTCCCCACCCACTTCTGTGCTCACTCCCTCAAACCCCACATATCCGTGATAACCCCTGCTTCTCACAACCCCAGCACCCTCACAGCCCCAGTTTCCCCAAGGCTTCCCTAATAACCCTGATCCTCTCACCCCATACCACTGTGCACAGGCTAACTCCCTTCTTGTGTCACATAGCCTGCCACGCAGTCCACAATGCCCCCCACCATGCCTCCTCAGAACCCCACTGTGGCGGATCAGTATGTGTCTGTATGTCTATATCAATCTGGAACGACATTCTGGTACTTCAATGTTATTTTTGACTGGAAACTGTGCTGTAGCTTCCATCTTGAGCTGGGACACGCAGGAGGTGTTAGGAGAAATCCTTACCCCTTGCAGAGGGGCTCACAATGGGAAAGCCATCAAAATCCCTCAACCTCGATGATTCTCCATTCAAATGGGTCCAACCAGAACAATGAGCCAGCTGCAGTCCAGGGGAACTAGTTTGCCCAGTTTAGACCTAGGGAGGAAAGGAGGAGGGCTGGAGTTGAGCAACTCATCACCTGACTGACAGGGTTTTTGAAGCTGCTTGGGGGAGTGACCTGATAAATTGGGATCAGAACTTTATTTAAGGGCCAGTCCTTCTTGAGTGTGAGCTGTCTCACCAACCATCCATCGGCTAAAGAGGAAGAACGGGGTGTAAAAAGGTCATGGAATCCTGAAGGACATTAACCCAAACTCAAAAGGCTCTCGGACTGATGAGGATACTGCAGGAGGGAATTTTACGTACTGGTGTTTATTTTTTCTAGATCTGTAATTCTTGTGCTTTGTCTATAAGTAACATGTGTATGCTTTAGCAATTCCTTTGCAAAGTCTGTGCTCTCTTGTTTTAATGGTCACAAGGTCCTTGAAAGGTTAAACAGTAAATTAGAGTACCCGTGAGTGTGGAGCTCTGGGAATGAAATTCTTGAAGTACTGTGGAGATCAGGATCAGCAGTGGCCTTGAGCCTATGGCAGCTGGACTATGGGTTCTACATCCCAAGAAAGGATACTAGATAGGGAGTCTGTACCCCAGGAGTGTGCCTTAAAAGCAAGACTTAGAGGCTGGGTCTGGATACTACTCAGACTCAGAAGGCTTAAAAGCCCCTGGGATCCAAAGGCTTGCTCAATACAGCAGTCTGGTGCCCAGCCACAAGGGGGAGCGCAGCAGGGCTGTAACACTCCTCCCCATCCCCTCCCCCCCCCACCCACCACACACACACACACACACACACACACACACACACCAAGTTCAGGTATCATCTCGGCATTACCTTCAAAACTAGATACTATTTTTCTGAAGAGTTTGTGTCATCTCTAATAGGCTATTTTAACAAATCTGTTTACAAGGACGGGACAGCTACCCTTTCTGAAAGAATAAGTGTAACTCATCTCTGGCCTGGATTTAACCTCTAGAAGCCTGGGGCCAAAATAAACTAAATCCATCTCCAAAACTAGAATCTCAGGCGATAGCAGGAGTAGCAGGAGATGCAATGGTTAATAGTAAACTATTTCATCCCAATGTTTCAAAGAGAAACTAATATAAACTAAATATTCTGCAAAGGCTCTGTACAGTAAAGAAAAAGTGATATTGTTTTACCTCGGTGGCCTGAGGAATCAACAGATATGCATGGGGACTGACAGCAGTCATCTGAAGTTAGGACTGTCACACAGGAGATATCACACTACCTCCTGGGAAGATCATTTCATTTACAATGTAATATAGCAAGCCTGCAGGCTGAGAGATTAGCATTACCCAAGTTGTTAGAGCTACTTATCAGTTTTCCAATCAAATGAAAGGTGCGGGTGACAAACTTTAAAGAGTCTTTAAACTTTTTACTGAAAAGATTCCTTAGTCAGAGATAAATTAATAGAGGTCAGCTAAGATAAGCTAGATGGCCATGAACTGCTCGTCAGCAGAGAAGACACAAGCAAATATTTAACTCAAACAGAAAAAAAATGAATTAATAAGACACAAAAAGCTTCATCTAAACTGGAAGATTTTAGCAATAGTACATAGCTTTGAAATGAGCTGAATTTTTTCAGGTTATGCTCGGGCAGTTTATTAATTTGAGGGTTTCAAGCACTTTAACTATGTCTGTGGCCCTGGACAGTGTGAATAAAAGAAAGTTGGAGACCTGGTGCAATAAGCCAAAGTTGAACAAGTCAGCCAGTACATCATTTTTAAAGGTCCAGAAATTACCTTTGCAGTTTGAACAAATTGACAGAGGTAATGTGGGTTATATAATTTGGGTACATAAATATCAGAAATATGGCATCAATAAGAATGCTTCAGTGCCCATTCTAAAGACTAGTTTGGAATTTACAAACTTTCCAGCTAATGGTTTCAAAATAATGGGAGACAACTTAGCACCTTTCAAAAGTGTAATAAAAATATGACAGGTAACGAGACCAATCACATACATACATGAGCTGCTTGGACGATAGTGAGCCCCTGGGTATCGCCTGCCCATAGTGCCAGTCAGCACATTACCAGACGCTGTCAGCAGTTTTCAAAGTACAAGATCGAAATATTGAACTGTGGGGGAAGACAAGAATAAAACAAAACAAACGAAGATTTAGTACAATGGCTTTATCTTTTTCATTAAAATGGTAATGATCTCCACAAATTTAGGGTAACTATGTTTATAAATTATGTGTAGTCATGTTGTCAGCAGAGATGACAGACTGCAAATTTATCATTAGTGCTCAGTTTCCATTAATAAGCATACATAAATTTTAAGGCAAACATCAATCTCACACAGCACCTTTTCACTGTAGCTTATTTTGGTTGATGTCACAGACAGCGTAACCTAAGTTTCACAAGAGTTTTGCGCACTTATTTAAAACTAGTGGTGCAGTTATGGTTAGTGACAATATCTTTATTTTGATAGAGCAATTTCTGAACAATAATAAAACTTTGCATTTAATTTCAAATTAGTTGACTATTTCTCTAAAATCATGGAGTCTGTACTGGAATACCGCAGTTCTCTAAAAGACTGGAAAGAAGTTAGTCAATCAGGAAAAGCAAAGCACAGATAAACGTTCATTTTGGAGAACAGAAATCTTGCCTCCAATACTGCTGAGTCAAATGTTGCTGAAACTGACAAGTATTAATGTAAAACCTTTCAGTCTACAAATATCAGGGGTTCTGGAACAATTTGTATAGTGGAGGTGCTGAGAGCCATTGAACCAAACTGTAAACCCTCTATATAATGGAAACCACTTCAAGACAGAGATGCGGCACCATCCCCAGTTCTAGCACCTATGACAAATAAACCTCCCATAATAAATAAGAAGCCCCATTGTGTTGTTCCTTAGCTCAAGATTTCCAACTTCTCTTCCATCTGCAGAGTCTCCTCAGCCTATCTGCATGTTCCTCTCCCAAGATAGCTGACAATAATCACCTTCTCACAATTGTATAATTTAAAATAATTAAAAAAAACCCCACACCTCTTTCCCCCCCCTAAACTGGAGAACAGAATTCTGTTTCCTCCCCCCCAAAATGTCAGGAAACATTTTGCTGCTTCAGGCTGAAGCTACATGCTCTTACTGATTCCCAAAGGATACCTTGAGAGGCAGCTTTGTTTAGTGTATAGGGCATGGAATTAGGGTTGGGGAGCCACTTTCACAAATCTCCATGCATCTCAGCTCCCTGAGGAAATTTAATATCAATTACTTCCTGAATTAGATGAGCTCCCTTTGTTGGAGGTGCCGGTCACAGTTCAGGGCAACTCTATTTCCTCTCCGTGGTCCTGTAACTTTAGGCTCCTGACTCCTCAGCAGTCACCTCTCTTAGGTGGAGACCCATGTCTCTCTCCCTTCCTGAACAGGGTTTTTCCAGACTGCACAGTTCCCTGCCTACATTGTGATATTCCCAGCAAGCCAGACTGCCTAAACAGGCCAGCATCTGTACTTTGCTCTCTCTCCTCAGAGGTTATGAACAGCATAATTGCCTATAGTTATACATTACCCCACAGCTTTTTCTGAACAAGCACATTTATTCTTAAAGTGACATTACAGAAAGAACAAATTAAAACAATAAAAAAAGGCATATGCTAATAAGCTTAGCACAGACCTCCTGCCAACTCCAGAAGGGACTCTGGTAGGAGTCAGTCCTTCAAACACCACAAAGGGATTTTTCTGTTGGTTACAAGTTCATAATAGCTTTTGCTCAGAACAAGCGCACAAACTAGGCAGATCAGCCTTTTTCTTTACATAGCTTGGGCCTTTGATCGTCAGATCCTGTGAACAGGTGATCAACAGACAATGGCCCCCTTCTCAGAGCATAACTTCAAAAGGCTGGGTTCTTGCATAACTGGAAGGGAGGGCAGGAGTTTGCATTCACTTCCCCCTAGACATTTCCCTGGAAATTCCCTTCACAGGTATTGTCCCAAAACACAGTTCTTGTCTGCCACATAGTTCTGTATGGTCCTTTGATCAACCAGGCCCACAATAATACATAACCTTTGTACCTAATACAATGAGACGCAAAGATACTTGCATTTAATTCAATAAGGTTTTTCAAGGATATTGCAGGAAATTGCTATATCTGACACAGTCTTGTCAGGAAAATCAGGGCAGGTGAGCTTTATACAATTCATCAGTCATTCAAAATGACCCCTGTGGCAGACCACCCCCTTCATAATCTCTGAAATAAAGTCACCTTCGAGGCTGGGTATCTAGCAACCCCAAAAAACACTCTCAAATTCTCAGATTCATAGTCATAGTCACTTGCTAAATGGATGCACAGAAAGTGTACTGAGCAGCTTGCCTTCCGGAAATGGAGGACCAGATTTCTCTGCAGATGAAAATTGGAGAAAGGCTATTGAATAAAGTTGCACCCATTTACACCAATAGAGAATTTGGACTGTAAACAGAAAAAGACAGCAGAAAGCAGTAAAAAAAGTTTGGTCTGGGATGGTGTGTAAGCTCTACATGTAGAATTGCCAACTTTCTAATTGCAGAAAACCAAACATACTTGCCCCACCCGCTGTCCCTGGCACACCCCTTCTCCGAGGCCCTGCCCCCCCACTCACTCCATCCCTCCTCCCTCTGTCACTCGCTCTTCCCCACCCTTGCTCATGCGCTCATTTTCATCGGGCTGGGGCAGGGGTACAGGAGAGGATGCAGGCTCCAGGTGGGCCAGGGATGAGTGGTTTGGGGTGCAGGAGGGAGTTCCAGGCTGGGGGGGTGGGGCTGAGGGGTTCAGAGGGTGGGAGGGGGTACAGGCTCCGGGCTGGGGGGTGCGGGCTACGGGATGGGGCCAGAAATGAGGGGTTCAGGGTGCAGGAAAGGGCTTCAGGCTGGGGTGCAGGCTCCGTGAGGGAGTTTAGGTGCAGGATGGTGCTCAGGGCTTGGATAGGAGGTTGGGGCACAGGAGGGGCTTCAGGGTGTGGACTCCGGGTGGCGCTGACCTAAGGCGGCTCGGGAAGCAGCAACATGTCCCTCCAGCTCCTAGGCAGAGGGGCGGCCAGGTGGGTCCGCGGGCTGTCCCCGCCTGCAGGTGCTGCCCCCGCAGCTCCCACTAGCTGCGGTTCCCGACCAATGGAAGCTGTGGAGCCAGCGCTTGGGGCAGTGCCTGCGGGAGGGGGCAGCATGCAGAGCCTCTCTGGTCGCCCCTCTGCCTAGGAGCCAGACATGCCAGCTGCTTCCCAGGAGTTGCACAGAGCCGGGTAGGAAGCCTGCCAGCCCTATGCCAACTGGACTTTTAGACACCTGGCAACCCTATATACATGACAGCAAGAAAGACTAAATCTTACTCTTTTATTTTTATATAATCTGCTCCCAAAGAAAATTACTTTTATAACTATTCTTCAGCATGTTCTGCACTGTAATGTAGTTTCCTCAACAAAAACCTCTTTCCACGTGCTTTAAAGATTTCTGTGACTTAACTGAACCAGCCGATTAATCCAAAAACTGATTAGCAATACAAATCTTGAATTTCCCCACATTACATCTGTAGACGTTATAAATATGTTAGAAATAAAATCTCAGAGAGAGAGAGAGTTAAGAACTGCACAGACTTCACGCAGCAGCCCATTACATCAACTGTTAGAAGCAGCATAAGAGGGATGACAAAAGCAACCCTTTAATGGATGCCACCAGAGATGATGCATTAAAACATGTGGTTTGAAGCCTTTTATAATTTAGTTAATGGTTTTGACACAACAGTTTGTGAATGGAAAAAACAGAATTCTTCTTCCGTCCCTAGTCCATTAATAATTCTTTCCCCTTCCTCATATGGTCAGCGTGCCGGTGTTGGGTAAGAAAAATAGCCTACTCATGAAATGCCCACAGGTGATTATAACTAAATACAAGAGATGGTAATAGTCAACAGCTCGGCAGGGATTATTCTTTTTATTTTATATTTAATAAAGTTATCTGGATACAGATGATTCTCTCCCCACCGATATTATTTACAATTCCTTTCGATGCCTTTAAAGAGAAACTTGAAGGGGCTTTGCATAATGGATTGAGAAGTGCAGCGTTTCTGTAGCTTTTATAAATAGATCCTTGTCCTCTTCCGGAAAGCTGTAACTTTTTAAACAATGCTACCTACTAAATCATAATAAATATCCCTAAGCATCTTACAGCAGCAATACACTAGAGGTACTATTTTCTTTCCTTCCCCAGTGGCTGAAGCAGCATCACAGAGGCCCTCTGTACCCTGCTGTAATAACAGCTTTAAAAACATGCTTAAACTGTAGCACAGTTGAGCTAAACCAGAATGTGGTTTTCCTAACACCGTGGCCCCAAATGGGTCTAAACGATACTTAATTGGACTACTAATTGGAAAACTAGAGATCACAGCTGTGAATAAATATATACAGTGAACTCAATGGCAACAACAACATGTGTATTAAGACAGGACATGTATAGAGGATTCATTTGACTGTAATCTGAGATTTCACCAATTTTTATCTTAAAATGAAAACTGCACTGACTTGTTGCAGTACCTCACAGAGCTAAATATATGTATGCTAAATAATAATGTATTAGAGAATGAGTTGTCAAAATACACTTTACTTTTCAGTATCTCCATTCAGTAACTGGGATTTTTGCACTTGGAGTTACCATCTTAATGATACCACACTGTGCTTTCCAGCAGAGATATGTCTAGACTAGGATAAATGGTCTTTTGTATATTAACTACCAGGTTTTAAAACTTCAGTATAAACAGGGGAAGTTGATTTTTAACATGTTAGCTGGTCAAGGTGACCACTAGAGGGGATCCTAGGGTTTACCTCAACCAGTGTAGCTTGAAAAACAATTTGCCCTGTCTACATCAGGGTGCTAAAACATGTTAGTTAAAACATGATCGCTAACATGTTTAAAAAATAAAACACCTGTCCTAGTCTACACACCCATCAGGCTGATCAAGGCAGATTTGGACTGAAAACCTCCAATTGTCAAACGAGCCCAAGCAGTTCTGTATGTACTGTTTTGCATGTACACAACTTAGGTACACACGTGTGTCTGAGGTAGACACAGCAGCCCCAAGAAGCACACAAACTCAGTGGGACCTGCAAATCAAAG